TTAGCTCGTTTTTTTCTTCTTTCCAACCTCAAAGTATCTAATATTTAGTTACTTACATTTATGAAAGCTTTTTGTGATTAAAAGCAAATCAAACTTTGAAATCTGACCTTCTAAATAACACCTTTACTTTCTCAAGTGATGTTTCTATGTTTAAGCACTCATATGTACATATTAGGGATGTTAATTTTTTTAGCTTTTTACGATCCCGGAAATTTCGGGATGTTAGATATTCTTTACTTTTCAACAACTTAAATCGAAAAAATTGCTTCTAGATTGTTTGAGAAGCTCTCCTACCTTAAAATAAATAATAAATAAATGGGTTTGAAACCTACTTTTTTATTTAAAGTGGCGTTTTTATTTTTTCTTTCTGACGTTAGGATTTATTCTAAAGGACTTTGTAATTTCGAAGATATGATTAATTCCAAAAATTATTTAAAATATTCAACGCATTGTAGGAAATTTCTTTAGAATTTAAAAAAATTAAAATTTATTTGGATTCACAAGGATGGATAGGTAGAATTTTAAGCTGATAAGGTTAGAAGGACGAAATTCGAGGATGTTATCGAGTTTATATAAGTCCTTCATATATAAATTTTTTCAAAAACAAATATTGCGAAATTTCAAGGAAACAATTTTAAAAGGACATCTTCAATACTTACAGTCCATATGCACAAAAAATTGAATCTGAATTATTTGCCAAGAATCCCGGGATTAACATTCCTAGTACATATGTATGTATGTATGCAGCTACCACTTAAACTTAGGTAGCACTCTAATCTTATCAGATGTGCTTCATAATTCAAACACAAATTGCAAAGTCAAAAATATTTAAAAGCAATTAACAGGTGACAAGCAATTTAAATTGGAATACACTATCCAAAGTGAAGCGCGTAAATTAAAACAAATTTCAATGGGAATGGGAATGGGAATCGTATTTTCTCTTTGTTCTCGGTCCATTAAGGCTTTGCACGCTGGTTGGTGGAACTAATGGCAAGAAAGATCAATAAATTAGACGCTCCCTAGCATCAGCGAAATAATATAATGGGCGCGAAAGAAGACATACATACATACATACATACATAGTACATATACATGGTATTTGTTGTTGTTGAATGTAAAAACATTCAAGTAAATTTATTTGTTAGAAATGCTCCGAAGAAAAATAAAACAGCCACTGTCAACAGTCGGAGAGAATCGCGATGAAAGCAGCAAATCAGATAAAATTCCACAAAAGTTGTGAACACAGTTGTAGTCAAAAGAATGCTGCCAAGCAAAAGAATGGCGTACGGATCAGTTGAAATGACGTCCGTTCGCCTTATTGACAATCTATATATATGTGTGTATGTATGTAAAGCCACAGAGCGAATAGTTAACGTCGATAGCGCCTTTTTCGGCGACCGAATGTAAACAAGTTGTTTTACCTTATATATGTATTTATAAAATTCACGCATACTTTTTATTAATTTTCCACTGATTACTTTTGTTGGTTGTAGTTATTTTGCAAAATAAATTATGAGAAATGATGTCAAAAGG